GTTTCTTGAGGAGCTGGCTGGAGAGAGCGGGGCACACCCACCCTAGCTGCGGAAGGGAATCCATCAGATGGAGAAATGGGGCAACTGCTTACAAGGGAAATAAAAGCTGCGGAGACGGAGAATATTTATATGCCCCTCTACTCACTCAGAGGGAAGATGCTTCATCATAGATGCTATGGAATTGCATTCTTCCTCGCTCCTCCACAGAGCAGCTTTGGCTGGGGTGAGGGACTGAGTGGGGAGGACAGTGTGGCTTTGTGGGGACAGTAGCCCCATACCACCCTCCCACAGAGGCAAGAAAACAAGATGGAAGATATACTGGATAAGGCTGGAAAACTTCGCTGTGACTCCGTGGTCACCTCCCATGGGAAGGGGGAACAGCGAAAATTCTCTCTATTGGCTTGGCCTAATTGACAGGTACCCTGCTGGGCCTCTGTGAAGATGGGAAGATAGGAATGTGTGCCAAATCCCTGAGAGTTGAAAGAGTGCCAGCTTCCAGGCTGAGTTACTTTATTAACCATGGCTTTGTCCATTTTCCACCACCCACATCTCAAGGTACGCCTGAATGGGGAGGTTTCTGTCTTTTCAACGACCCCTCCCCCGCCACAATGCTGCTAGATGCTATGTGTTTTGACTCTAACTTTTAAATGCCACCTTTCTTGGGTGCCCTCCTGCACTGTAAGGGATGTGCATGCCACACTGCCAGGAAGCTCTGGGAACATGACAGCAGAGGACTCTGCCAGTTGTAACGTGCCCAACAGTGACACTGCTATGAAGCTCTGTCCCACGGAGCTGGTGCTCCAGCTGGGGTTGGGAGGCAGACAGGTCTGAGGTCTGGGTGTGGAGTGCAGACATGAGGTGATCACTGGCTCTTGCTGGCTTCCAACAAGCTTTGGGTTCAGAGAGAGACCCTGACTCAAAAAGACTAAAGTGGAGGGTGATGGAAGAGGACGTCTGGCCTCCAACATCCAGGGCCCGCAACAACCCTGTGTGAGTTCAAGACCAGCTAGAGTTACATACGGAGACTCTGTCTCAAACAAACAAACAAACAAACAAACAAACAAACAAAACCCCACATGGGTTGTTGTGATATCCAACACAGGCAGACTGGAGACCTGCATCCTGTCCATGACACCATAATCACTTCTACCAACACATGGCACTCGACCACAGACTTGTGCGCTGCACACCCGTGTCCTGCCTATAAAGGTATCATGTCACCTCCATCAATGCATAGGGGAGCCTGTGGGGCTTTAGTTTGAGTGCTGATTGGCTGTCTGTGCTGCCAGTCAGGCATGCGCGATCCTACCTACCAGAATGAGCTTCGTACTCTCCCTTGGCACTGCCCATCCACCACCAGGTGACTCTTTGTCTCTCCAGCTACTTGTTACTTACTGTTAGTCCAGGCTGTGGTGGTACCAGGGCAGGAGCCCTTAGCTGGCAGCTGGTATGTGTTTTTTGGTGCTGGTCTTTATCTGAGGTTCTTGCTTCATTCCTAACCCTTCTTAGGCTAACAGGGCCCGAAGTTCTATGGCAGACCATGCTCAGGAAGGTGAGCGGGAGACAGGGCTGGGCTAAGCTCTAGAAAATCCCCTGGCTAGGCAGGAAGCGTGCTCAGCGGGTGGTCTGAATGAGAATGGCCACCACAGGCTCAGGTGTTTGAATGCTTAGTCCCTAGTTGGTGGGAGAGTTTGGGAAGAACTAGGAGGTGTGACCTTTTCGGAGGAGGTTTGTCACTGGGGCTGGGCTTTGTTTCAAAAGCCCACGCCAGGCCCAGTCTTACTCTGCCATGAGACTGTAGACTGGGTGTAGTGCTCAGCTGTTGCTCCAGTGCCAAGCCTGTCACCGTGCTTCTTGCCACGATGATCATGGACTAACCCTCAGACGCTGTAAGCCAGTCCCCAATTAAACGCTTTCTTCTGTAAGTTGCCTTGCTCATGGTGTCTCTTCATAGCAACACATTATTGATTAAGACACTCAGCCTAATGTTGGATGGACAGACTGACCAGTTGCCTTCGGGGATAGACACTGTTTCTTCAAGCTGTGTCCCCTCAGGAGGGGTGACAGGGGTATACGTATCGGGCCACATTCAGTCCTCTTGTTCTCACTGGAACCACCTGCGGACAGTTTAGTCACTGCCAGAGACCCTGGCTGTTCATTCAACCACAGTCCAGGTTTCTTGCGGGTGGCTGGATGCCATTTCCACCCACAGAGGAAGTATCTTCCCAGACACCTTGCTCCCACTGTGGGGAAGAGCCAGGGGAGGTTCTTAGGAGATGTTTAGGTCTTTAGCCTGTGTTCTGAACTCAAAGGTGGCTATCTGGGCCAGTGAGACAGCTCGTTGGAGAAAGAGCCTTGCCTTCAAGCACGAAACCTGAGTTCTGTCCCTGGAACTCTCATGCTGGGAAGAAAGAACAGACTTATGCAAGTTGTCTTCTGATGCCCTCATCTATGTGTCAGGCTGCCACAAAATAAATAAATGAACCTGCCTTAAGCATCCCACTTTTTGTTTTGCTTGGGGTGCATGGTTTAACAAGTGAAAATACAAAGCTGACATGAACAAAGCCCATTTCTAACAGGCTTTGGGCTCTGTCACCAAAGGCAGCCAGGCCTGCAGGGAATGAAAAGTAGACAAATGTCTTGATCCAGGCAGTACCATTCCAGCCCTGGGAACACCGCGCCTGTTCTAAGGGATACCCTACCAGTTCCAGGGGCAGCCTTCTTGCTCCAGGCCCATCACACTGGCTGGAAGCCACAGGCCATGGTAGCAGGGCTCTTCCTTGAGTCTCAGCATCACAGAAGCAACACTGAGATCAGGGATAGTGGAGGCAACATCAAGCCACTCCCGGGAAACTGCACAGGAGGGTGCCGCACAGGAAGGCAGTGTCCTTCAAAGTGTGGGCAGCGATGCCCTAAACACCATGGCATGAAGTGCAAATGGCAAATGCAGGTGGCTTTCAAGCCCTCAGTGACAGATGTTGTGCCGCTCCCACTCACCTTGACCCTTGCTGTGCTACACCCCCCTTCCCACCACTTGCTGCTCCCCCACTTTCCCTCTTCTTCCTGAAAGTGGCAAATACAGGCCTGCCTTCTTACCAGTGAGAAACTGAACTAGGCTCTGACAATGCAGATGGCATCTCTTAGCTGCTGGCCAGCATGGGCGGACACTGCCTCCTGCCCTTGCTCCGTGGAGAGAGAGTACAGTAGTAACGGACTATGGAGATGGTGACTCTCTGAGCTCTGCAGGTTCAGGCCCCGCTCCAAATCCAACCATCTCAGCAGAGCCCTGCTAAGCACTACCACCATTTCCATTCCTGTACTACCTGACAGAAAAGGCTCAGAAAAGTCAATCAGAAGAGTTGGGACAAGCCCACAAACTCCTTTCAGGGCTGTCCTCAATACCCAGTGTTGTGTCTTGGGGAAAGCCACACCCCAACTTAGAGTGCTGAGGTGAAGAAAATACATCATAAGAAGATGCTTGGCCAGGTGCCAGCCTCGGGAGTAGAGGGAGGACCTAGACATTTGGTGCTGATTGCAGGTGCCCAGCCTGACAATGGAGTCTTATCTATCCGATGCGTCCAGAACCCAGGGGGACTGGCCTTCCGAGTCCCTACTATCCCCACCAGCCCGGAGATCCCCTCTTCGAGGGACTTTCAATCACAGGAGAGGACTAGGCCTTAATCTTGCCTCATACAAAAAAGGGAGAAGTTCACCTGGTCACTCAGGGTGAGAATAAGACAGTCCCAAATTCTGTCTGTGCCCACAGTAAGTGCTTAAGAGAAAGATGCTACTGTCAAGGCCCACTGAGGAGGGCAGAGATGGAGGGAAGGGAAGGAAGCTTGGCATCATGAAGGATGCCCTTTCTTGAGGGCCCAACCCTAGCACTGGATACCTGCTGCCACAGAGTTTCCACCTGCTCACACAGCACTGGCTGACACCATCAGAGGCAGCTTCTCCTGTTGCCCAGCACAGCCCAGCACAGCCCTGCACAGCCCTGCACAGCCCTGCACAGCCCAGGAGATGGCCTTCCTGGCCTGCCCTTGCTCTGTCTTGCTCTCCCACTGCAGTGGGGCAGGCCACCCTCTCAAAGCCTCGCCTGGTACGCATGAGCTGCATCCCTCACGGAGGCCCGCCCTACGCTGGCTTCCCGGCAGAGGCTCTTCACAAGCAGAGGGAGTGCACTTTAAGGGTTGATGTGAACTTATACACACCTAGATTTCTAGCATCGTGACCAGCCATTTCCCCTGTTGCCAGCCAGCTAGCAAACAAAACTATAGGTGACAATTGGGTTTTTATGATTTACTGGGAATCAAAGACAAAGGGGGAGTTTTTCGTCTTGTTTTTGCTTTGACAGGTTTAGAAATTTGTTGTACTGCATTGATTCAATTTTCCTTGATTCCAGCCATCTTTCAATAATGCAGCCTGCTTCTGCTGGCTGGGTACATATGAGAAAACCCCAAGGAACCAAGGATATTGAAATAGTTCTGCCATTTCCATCTTTGAGACAAATGTTCCTCTCTGAGGAGCTGTGGTGGCACACGTGACTGGCAGTCTTCTCTGCACGGAGGAGGATGCATGCTAGTGCTGGCCTATGACAGGGACAAGCCCAGCAGGGGTTGTCCTCCTGCAAATCCCCGCTGTCTCAGGCCTACCTCCCTGGACCTTTCTTTTGGACCCTGAACCTGGTGTCTTTCTTATGAAGCCCAGATGGCATCAAATCAGCCACTCAAATGGGGGTCTGGTTAGGTAAGGGGACCTAGGACACTACTCTGGATCATAAAGAGGCTTGGCGAAATCTCAAGGTCCTGGTGGCAAATGATGAGATAGAGGTCAAGGTGCTAGTTAGTCATAGTCAACACAAGTGATGGGTGCATTCAAGGTGACTCACTGTTTTTCCCTCAGAAGGGCTCTTACAACCATCTTTCCTAAAACAAAGCCCTGAAGCCTTAAGGGACAGGGACCCTAGAAGATGAGCAATGTCCCAAGCCCAGCGTACTTACCTCCTTTTCAATTTCTGCCAGGGACTTGATGGTGATCCCCAAGAGATCAAAGGGCTGCATCTGAAAATACAGACCGAGTTACCCTTTCTGATGGCTGGAGAATGCCCCTTGCTTTTGTGACTATTATGGTGTTCAAGCTGTCCTAGCACTTCTACCCCTTCCCACAGAAACGGACATTGTGACATCCAGGCATTACGGGGTCCAAGGAGAAAGCACACAGTGGTGGGCTGAGTCTGTATCACAAGACTGCTTTGCCACATATCCACAGCACTTGGCCGTGGGGGGGAGGAGTGAGGGGGTCATGGCCTCCTGGAAGATGGGCCTGCAGTCAACTAATTTATCCTCTCTCCTGCTACCAAAGGAGAAAGTGAGTGAGATTTATGCTTTCATGATGGAGTATGAGGCCGGAAGAGTCTAAACCAGTGGCCACCTTGACTGCTGCCTCTATAGAACAGTGGCAGGTCCAAGGAGTTCCGGGGTCTGCAGTATCTTGGGAAGGATCCGGTGGGTCTTTGGAAGTGACAGGAGAAGGAAATAAGTGGCCTCAGGTCAGGGTGGTGAAAGTGACAGTGTTGTACATTTACAGGAGCTCTGCAGTTCCATGGACAGTGGGACAGAGAAGCCTGTGCTCAAACACCTAAGCCTCCGGGTCTGTGAGGCCGCAGAATCCTTCCAGGTGCACAGGCCTGCCTGGCCTCCTGCAGCACCGCCAGCAGAAGAGCCTGAAAACCCCACAGAACCCAGGAACTTTGTTGGTTTGGACCCAAAGCCCTGTGGCGGGGGTGTGGGCCTAATGCCTGCACAGGACCACAAGGAGTCCTGAATGGCGGGAGGTCAGAGGTTGGCAGGTGGCTCCGGAGCCCAAGGCCCTGGGGTCCAAACTGCCTTGTGGTGCAGGATGGATTAATCTCATTTCTTTATTCAGCTATATTTCTTAGCTTATAGAGTGTATGTGAGCAGGGACACACACACATGAAGGTCAGAGGGCAACTTTCAGGAGTTGGTTCTCTCTCCACCTTGCTGAGCCAGGGTTTCTCTTGTTTCTACCATCCATCGCACTCTAGGCCAGCTGGCTCATGACTCCCATCTCTGTGGGATGCTAGGATTACAAGTGCACATGACTGTATCCGGCTTTTTAAGTCGGTTCCCGGGCCTGAACTCCAGCAGTTGGACCTGTGCTGCAAGCCCCTTCACCTGCTGAGGCATCTGGATGCCCCCTCATCTTTCCTTTAAAAGCCACATTTAAAAGCTTGTTAAAAGTGGCATGGGTGGGCCCTTCTGGTCTTGCTGTAGGGGGACTAGCAGAGAAACACTTGGAAAGGCTTAACACGGGGCCTTGGCCTGCATCTGTGGCCTTGAGCGCTTGCTGAATTGGCAGTAGCACATTTGTGAGGGCGAACTTGGGACAGGGCCACCAAATTAGACCCTGAGCTCCTGGGGCTGCTCTACCAGTAGCCACAAAACAGTTTGGCTATGCTGGAGATGCCAGCCTGCGTGATATGAGAATGGGGCTGCCTGCCCGCCTGGGCCGGGAGCAAGCAGAGGTCCAGCTGTTGCATCATTAGGCTCTAACTATTCCACTAAACTTTCCCAACTGGAGCTGGTGAGCAGGGCAGAACAGCCTCTCCCAGGGAGCATGTAGGAGAGGTGCCAGCGTCTCCATGGCAACGTAGCCCTGTGGCGTCTGCAGAAGTTCCTCGGGCTCCCCATGTCACATCAGGAGCATTTTTCAAGATTAAGCACTTACCAGAAGGGTTCAGAGGAAGCCTATTATATTTCATAAAAATGGAAACGACAGAGCAGGTAAGATCGCCAGCCGAGTAGTTTTAAACTGGGTCCAAGACAAACACTGAAGAGGTCTTTAGCTAGGCCCAACTAGGGCCTTGGTGTTTAGTAAAGCTTCAAAGAAATCTTCTTCAGGAAGGATAAAAGCCAGAAATAGTTTAGTGACCCAGTGTGGCTCAGGCTTGCATAGCTGAGAGGGGGTGAAGGCTGTCGTAAGGACCAGGACCACCAGACGGTATGAAGCCCAGTACAGGGCCCTGGCTGTAGCAGGGACTTCCCATGGTTTAGGTACTGGTCTCTGCTCTTGGCTGGTTCACTCCCTCTGTCATTCAAGAGGCTCAACCTGGGCAGAGACCACAGCCAGAGGCACTTGCCGCTGTGCCACAGCAGAGCATGCAGTACCCACAGAATGAGGTAATGACACTGGGGAAACGAGCACCAACTCCATCACCAGGAAGTAAAGAACTAAGGCCACATGTGGTGGGTGGCACAGCACTAGGAAAGCAGAGGCAGGTAGATCTCTGAGTTTGATGACAACCTGATCTATATAGCGAGTTCTAGGCCAGCCAGCCCTATATGTCTCAATAAAAATAAAATAAAATCAAACAAACAGCTAGCCTGGCTAAGCTGAACTTAGGAACTAGACAGCCCGCCACCTGTGAAACAAGGCTCACTGCACTTGAAATGTAAAAGCTTGGCCCTGCACTCATCTGCTCAGGGTCTCTAGGATCTGGAACCCTACCTGATTTCTTCTTCCATTTCTCAAGCACTTGTGAGGTGCAGGCCCCAGTTGAAGAGCCCAGAGACAAGCAGAACTCATCCCAGCTCTCAGAAGTGTGCCTTTTGGTTTCAGAGGTCAGCATCCAGAGGGAGAGAGAAACCCAGGCCCAGGGAGTTGCGGGTGCTGAGAGTAGCTGAGGGACTTCAGGTTAAGGTGGGAGAGGAGGAGGGGATCATGCATAAAACTTACACTTTCTGGAACACAGGAGAACTTCTCTGAAATCATAAAAGGCACACCATCCATTGCTGCAAGAGAAAAAAAGAGAGGAAGGCACTTAGGACACCTTTGCTGCCCAGAAATCTAAGACATCAGTTCAGAAAGGTCCAGTGAGTCCCTGGCTAGAGGCAGGCACTACCCCGGTCAAGTGGGTGGGAGCTACAACGTGGGCCAGGACGCCGCCTGTTCCTAGTGACGACATCCTACCCAGGGACGCAGATGCCTGCGTGCATCCTCTGAGTGCAGGCAGTCATGCCGAGAGGGTCAGGGCTGGCATGAAAGCCCTTGCCTACCCGCATCCAAGAGTCTGAGCTATACTGTTAGTGGTGGGAGCCACCACGGAACTGACAGCAGAAAGTGATGTGCGGCTGCGAGGGGACGAGGACACCCTGGGGAGAAGCCGGCAGGGGCGTGTTCAGTGTCTATCTGTAGGCTGAGCTACGGATCCTCTTCTGGGTGGTAGTGGGTACTCATCAGTTTCCGTGGAAAGACAAGTGGCTCGGCACTCAGGACGGTCAGCCTGAGTCCTGGTCCGAGTCCTGGCCTGGGCTTGGGGTGAGCATCTGAATGCATATGCAGAAGGTTGGCTAACAGCTGGGAAGTGTGCTCTAGGTCTTCAGGGAAGTGCCAGGAACCTGCCCAGGACCTGGCAGAGTGGGCTCAGGGTGTATGTGGGTAAGGGGCGGGGGACACACATGCTCACAGTTCCTGATTCCCTGTCATGGCTTCCGGGCTGAGTCAAGACTTGCCCATGCGCTTCATTACAACAGGACATGAGGGACAGGGCATGGAAAGAGCAGCCTGTGAGTGGGGGATGCAGGGATCCCCTGCAGTCTGTGTCTAGATCTCCAGTGCCAAAGTGGTGGTGGTCTTGCCGTTGAGGAGGAATATGTAGTGCAGGGCCCTCACACTGTCATCTGTGGACAGACAACCGACTGGGCTGCCTACTGAGCCTAAGGTCTGACCCTCAGGGTCAGACTTTGCAGAGCTGCAGCCTGCAATGAGAGGGCGGTTTGTTGCAGATCATGGTTTTGGATGGGATATTGTGCCTCTCTGTTTCCTAAAATGAAGGCTCCCCTGGTGTTCAAATGCTGAGGCTAGCTTTTAGGGATGGGGGAGAAGAGAAGCAGAGAGGAAAAAAGAATGAAGGGCGAAGGAATGGAATCTGGTCCTGGCTGTCTGATCTGTGAGGTGGGCCACACAGGGTAGATTGGGCTGTGCTCATAATGACTGCAGGGAAGTGGGGAGCAAAGAGCAGGGCTGCCTGCACTGACAGCTCTCTCTGCAGGCCCACCTCCTCTGTGTGCCTCCCAGGCTCAACAAACACCTGTGGCAGGGGCCGTCTCCCACTGCAGCTCGGCCCTACAACCCAGAAGACAAGGCTGGGTGCCGGCATGATGTGACCTATACTCATACAGGAAGGAGAGAGAAAGTCCAAAGAGTTTCAAATGCCCACATCCAAACATCCTAGCACTCCCTGAGAGCCTGCCGCAGCAGACACACTGCTGTGTATAAAGAATCCTTGGGAAGCCACCAGCCTGTCAGAGCGGGAGGGAGGCAAGTCCTATGAATACGCAGGAAGAGGCCACACCAGCTCCTGCCACTGACCACCCAACGAGAGCTGTAAGCTTTCGTTCACACACATGGCTTCTGTGTGCTCTGACCTCTAATGCTTGCAGGGCCCAGGGCCCTCACGTCACTTCTGATCACTTTGAGATGACGAAGCAGAGGCTCTGTAGTTTGGAGCCTACGGAGGTCACACAGGCAGGAAGCAGTATATTGGAAGCCCTGTCTTATGAGGCGTGGACACAGACAACAGTATTTTATCTACGTGCGGCTACAGGAACGTGCAGGGCACCGCCCCTGCCACTGTGCAGGGTAACTGAAGCTTCTCCTTGCCTGCTTCCACACTGAAGTCCTCACCCGGAGCCCTAAGGGAGCTCTGAAGCCTCCCAGCTGACAGAGGGGTGGTGGTAGCAGGTTCACTCCTGCCGGCAGTGATGGAAGCCCCTTGTACCCAGTCCTGACTGCAAGGGGCCATTTGGTAAAGTGCCTGAGGTGGGAACTCAAAACAGGAGCCTGGGCAGTCAGACACTCCTCGCTTGCATGAGAGAACAGATCTTAGCCTGTCTGGTGGAGTCAAGCAGGCAGAGACCAGAGAGGAACAGCATGGGGTTCTCGACAGCACAGGACACGTTGAAGCAGATGCATCCTCCAGGCCGAACTTACTGACCAAATTAAATTTCATTTAAAAGATCTAGTGTGTGAGCGATGGCTCCGTGGTTAAGAGCATTGGCTGCTCTTGCAGAGGACACTGGGTTCCATTTACAGAACCCACATGGTGGCTCACAGCCACCTGTAACTCCAGTTCCAGAGGATCGACACCCTCTTCTGGCCTCCAGAGTACTGTACGTGTGTGCTGCACAGGAAGGCATGCAGGCAGAACATTCATACACATAAAATAGACAAATCTTAAAAAAAATCTAGTGGGGGAAGCGAGATGGCTCCTCGGGTAAAAGGTGCCTGCTGCACACATGCAGCAACTTGAGTTTGAGCCCCATAATCACGCAGAGGTGGAAAGAGGAAAGGGTCCATGAAGCTTCCATGTAGCTTCCGCAAGCGGCATACACATCCCCTTCATATGACACAGCCCAGGCACTGGAGAAGCACATTAGCCAACTGCTCTGAAGTAGGTCAGGCGATCATCTGCTCTCTAAAAATAAATGTATGGCCCGATGGGGACCTAGTGGGAATGCTTGTTAACTGGCCAACAGTGGAATCTGATGAAGGGCTCAGAATGCCAACCTTTGGGCTCTGCCAGGCCCACGTAGCACCTTGTACTTTAGGGGCAGCTGTGCAGGATGAGTGGAAGATGTGCACAGTAGCAAAAGGGGAAATGGCTCGCTGTTGGCTGGACACGCCGATGTGATTTGACTGCTGAACATGAAAGGTGTCCTTCTCAAGGCCACAGTGCCACCGCATTGCCACAGGACCCAGGTGCCACTTGGTCTGCTCTGAGCTTGAGAGTGACACCTAGTGCCAGCATGGTATTCTCTCAAGACCATCCTGAGAGCCTTGAAGAATGGGAGCACATCTTGGGACCCTAAGCTAAACCCATATGGAAATGAAGAGGCAGCATCAGGTCTGCTGCCTCAGGGGGGCGGGACCCTGCCCAGCAACCCAGCATTTGGCACATGGGGAACGGGCAGAGAGGGGCTCCCATCCAGATAAGAGAAGGCTGAGCTGCTAGAAAGCCACCGCCACAGGGAGACGGCTAGGCGGACTGACCGTGGTTCAGGGGGCCTCACTCTCCTCTCGGAAGATGTGCTGGGCAGAGCAAACATGGTAATACTTGCGGGGGTACTGGGTAGGGTCTCGTGTTGCGGTGTTTAGCTACAGGAGGTAAGCCCCTTCCGGTTCAACAGCATGCATTCCTAGGAGCCTTATCTGGACAGCCTTCCACATTTGAAAATATTCAGAGGTTTGGCAGACATCATCCTTAGAATGATGGCACACGTTTTCCATGTGATCCCCAAGACTGCTCATAAATCATCTCTGTCCTCCCTCTCATGGGGAGCCCCATTCCCCTCCTTACTCTTTCTTTTCCTGGCCAGGGCTGGCATGTTTTCATCAGGACTGCTATAGAGCTAAGGCACGGCTCTCTGTCCCAGCTGCCCTGCTGGAGGACATGGCTCACAGGTCACCGCCCTGCCAGTCAGCAAGAGTCAGGGCAGGGCTTCTCTCCCTGATCCTGCCTGACCTGTGCATAGTCATGCCACAGAATCAGGAATGACAGCAGGTATTGGCCCTTTCTCCAAGTAGGCTTCCATTAAAAAGGCTCCTCCAACCTGGAGGTGACAGAAGAGAAGAAAGGCCCTTTGAAGATGTCTTCCACAAAAAAGAAGAAAGGAAGGAAACCCATGTTCCTCCCCACGTACAAGGCAGTGAACTTCACCAAAGTGCTTAACTGTCAACCTTCTCACTGCAGCCTCTAGCCACCGAAGTCAGGCCCAGGCCTGATGGGAGTGGGTCTCAGGCTCACAGTCTGGCCTTTGGGGAAAGGATGGGCTGGGGGCTCAGAAGCTCAGAGTTCCATTTGCAGTTCATGCCAGGGATACCACACCTCTGGGCCTGTCTGTAAATGGGCCTCGTAGTACAGTAGCTTATGAGACAGACACAACATCTGACAACAGTCAGGGGCCAGGCACTAGGGGAGAGCTCCCTGGCATGGTGGCTTCTGGTACCTGACTAGAAGCTGTGTCCTTTCAATATCAGGCCACTGCTTTCTTCTTTTTACTTTAAAAAAAAAAAATTGGTGGCAGTTTTAACAAATGCTGATCCATGGATTGGAGCAACAAGGAGCAGATGAAAGTGAGGATGTGCCGCGGGCTCTGTAGCGCAATTAGCATTCTCCTAAACAAACGAGCTTCAACAGAGCTGTAATTAAGCGGGCCTGTAATTAAGTATATGCCCTTTATCATAACGATCATGCTTAAAAATGGCACGAAGCACGGAACTGTGTTATTAATGCTGTAATCCCAGACTGAAGAGCCAGTACATAGAAATCTGCGTGTCAGGCCTGTCACCGCGAGTGTTTGTAAAATACATTAAAGAAAGAAGCCCCCAAACAATGAGCTCGTTCAACTGTTCTTTTTACAACCAGGCAGCACAAGTCAAGAGGACTGTGAATGCTTACAGATCCCGAGGTTTAAACAAATAAAGCTGTAATCTGCTGCGTGCCCCATCCCCCACTGGAAAGAGGCGATGGAGCTGGTGGCTAAGGCTGTAGCGCTTTGTTTTCCCCCTTTCTTCAGCTGACCTACATCCTGTCTCAGCTGCTCTCAGGCAAGCATGCTGCACCTGGCTGGACAGCAAATCCAACCCCAACCCCACTAGCTTCTGCTCCCTCCCTTTGTGTGGAAACTACCATTTTACTTTCCAAAGCAGTCGCCAGCTTTCCAAAAGCAGCTCACTTTTGATTCCCCCATCTCCACAGAAGCCTCCTGGCTTCTTCAGATGGCACAAACCA